ATAAGTCATGTAATTTTTCATTATTGCCTTGTGTGTGTTATCTTCCACCTGAAAATTCTTCGAGTTCATTTGATGTTAACAATTTTTATGAATAATTATTGTCATTGATTTATAAGATGATGGTAATATGTATATATGTGGAGATTTTAATAGTTGATGTGGCGATTTGGAGGATTTCATTATAGGTGTTGATAATGTAATAGAGCGTGAAGTTATTTTATTTTACTTGTAATGCCTTTGGAGAATAATTACAGGATTTTTTTATTCAATATTGATATGTGTATGTTGAATGGTAGGAATAATGTGTGTAATGACTTTACTTCTGTTTCTACGAAAGGTAAATCTCTGGTAGACTACTGCTTTGTAAATCATTGTATGTTACAGAATTTTGTCGATTTTGAAAATATCAAAGTTTCTACTCTAGTAAATAACAGTAGAGCTATTGGTGAAATTGTTCCTACTGCTATTTCTTAAAGGAATAAGAATGGATGGATTGATGTCTATCTAATATAAATATTCATCATTTAAAAAGAGGAACCATGACAGTTTTCCTATTGACATCAATCCTATAAGAGAGAAATTCGTGTTTAAAGACACTATTTTTTACTTGAGAAATAAGTTCATGGGCGCCGCCATTTTGGCGTTCTGTCATTCTCGCGAGACAGACGAGACCGAGATTGTGACGTGTTATACCCACTTCCGGTATAGGTGTACTCGCTGGTACAACTAAAATATATCTTGATGAAGAACTTATTAATTTTATTGCGTACATTATATATTATTTATGAAAACATCATATGGAACTGAATTGCTTTAATTAATTAATTAAAGACGTCGCGACATTAATTATCATTTGTGCGATATTCAAGCTTGCTGATGATCCCACCACATGATTTAAGCAATGACTGCTTAATTTTCAAAGATAAACCATAAATTTACTTTTACGCGATTTTCCGCCATTGACGCTAAAAATGAGAAACGCGCAGGAAAATCGGCAGCCAGACTTATATCGTATGAAAACAAAACTGTCCGTAAAGTTATTTAGGCACCCAGTCAAAACTGGTACCAACAGCAACAGGTTGCCCATTCCCCTATAATTACGCATATTACTTACCAAACTCCTTTCCCCGACAGATACGCATTTCTACTACCGTAAATTTAATCCAATAAAACAAAAAATCATAAATCTACTTAATATTTAAAATGATTATTGGTAACTGAAAAAAATGTGTTGCTATTTTATGACGTGCTGTAATTTACTACAGTATAATTTGACAGGTGTGGAACCGAATTCCCCCTAAGGTCATTCAGTTCACTGATGAAGCGTAAAAAAATAGATGTCTATTTCGTCATTAGAATATTTGACAAGGGTGATTAACCAATCAGGGCAACATTGTGCATGATCAAAAGGTCTGTCGGCACAGAAGCATACAAGTAGCAATAAAAATCGTCAGTACACAGTGTGACAGGAGCATTTGGTGCAAATTAGGAACAATTAAAATGGACAATGCGCAGTATTAGACATAAGTAGTAAGAACCAGCAATTGTGTGAATAAATTATGCAAATAAGATTTTTGAGCAGCCAATAAAAATGATTTGCCTGCAGTTAATATTAGGCTACGATTACGATTCGCAGCATCATACGTTGACAGACATGTTAACAATTTACTTTTCAAAAGAGTTGCTTATATTTTTGAAATGTGTACATCAATTAACATATGTTCACACCTTTAAATTTGAAAGTCAGAATCAAACTGCAAAAAATTAATTATATGTACTATTAAGAACACGTTTTAGTAGGGTTTTTATAATGGAAGTGGCCAGCGTACGGGCCCGTACGGCTAGCCAAAAGTTTTAGCCGTACGTGAGTCACGTACAACTAGCAAGGACACGCTGTATTGGCTAGCGGTACGGCACTTTTCAAAATTTTATGGAAGTCGAAAATGCATATGTTATTTTATTACTTTAAGCCAAGATTTTAACCAAGAAACAGCATTAATTGTCTTTGGGTGTTAACTTTTTAGAGATTAATTGCCTTGATCGCTATATATATCGATCTTTGTCATCGCAAGATGTCGAGAAAAAATAGCCTTTGCTTGCATTTACACCAAATGAAATAGTTTACAAATTTTTGATAATAATCCTTTTTTGTTTCATTAAGTTTAATTTTCGACACCTTTTTTATGAAAAAAAAACAAAAACAACAAACACTGAAAATGATTGTTGTTAGGCTCTTGATAATTGCGACAATTACCGACAGTACTGTATCAAGGAAAGTTTGCATGTTCCGTGAAAGGCATTCTAAAATTCTATTGTCAGTCCCTGGATAGGTTTTAATTAAGGCTAATTAATTGATTGACTGTGCTTTTATGTTCGATATTTATCTACTGTTTTGAAAATTATATAATTATTTTTGCATTTCACCGTTTTTTTTATTCAATGTTCTTTTTAATTATTTATTCCACTCCGATCATTTTTTATTCGATCCATGTGCTTAAAATTAACAAAAATGATTTAGTAATTCATAAAAACAAAACAACAAATGATAAGCATGAAAATCAACAATTTTATAACGTTCGACTTCCATATAATTTTGAAAATTGCCGTACGGCTAGACAATACAGTGCGTCCTGGCTAGTCGTTCGTGACTCACGTACGGCTAAAACTTTTGGCTAGCCGTACGTTTCTTTATCTTTTATTATTTTTTTATTTTTTTGATATTGTTACGTATTTTGAACCATAAAAAATCTCCTCTACACCTTCTGTGAAAATTAAATTGTCTGATCAATACTTTATTATATTAATATTTCCTTACGATTCAACTAGATTTATCATGAATCTAAAGTTGTGGGGAAATGACATCACGCGCACCTGTTTTTATACGGCCAATACACAAACATGGCCGCGCTTACCGATTTGTAGAAATCGGTGATTTAGCGATTTAAATTTTGTTATCATTCGTTTAATATTATTATTTGGCGGCAGAAAATTTGCAGACTTATTATTTATAGTATTATTTTTCTGAAATCATGTTTTTATTCTAACCTTGTCTTTCCCTTTAAATAGTCTTTGATTGTATAATGTGACATGAAAATTCACACTGAGGGTGATGTTTCTAATTCATTGTCTACTTTTGATGTTAAGAATAAACCAGATGATTTTATGTTAAACAAAGACACTGTAAACGATATAAATATCACTATTTCTAAACTTGCAAGTAGTTTTAGAAACCAAGCAGATATAGATGATGTATATGATGATAAACGTAGTATTGTTCAAAAGTCTATGTATAACAAATTGACAAGTTTCGCCTGGTAACTACAATAAATGACGACGACCAGCAAACCATGGTGGTCAGAAAAAGTTAACTGATTTATGATATCGAGTAAATTTTGCTGAAAGATCTTGGTTGTCTTGTAACATAAGGAGCTCTGAGATTACATTGAAATCTAATTTCTTAAGGATCCGTAAAGTGTTTGACCCTGAGGTTCAGAGAGCTAAACGTCTTTACTGGTATTTCCTGCAGGATCAGCTGTTAGATGAATGTAGCGTCGATACAACTAAATTCTGGAAATCCATCGGGAAAATTGGAGTAAATTGCTTTAAAAGTAACACTATCCCAATGGAAGTTCTTCTAAATGATTGCTCGGTTTCATCTAGGGTTGATGATGTATTGGCTAGATGGGAGACAGATCTTAGCACTTTTATACTTTTGCTGAAACTTCACACTCAAAAATATTTCCTTCAATGATCATATTTCCGTCATAGAGGTTCATAAAGCATTGGCTAATGCCAAGAGGATACCATGCAAGAAGTACTGCGTTACGCTGACAGTTGGGGTTTATTTTTCTATATTTGTAAGGTATTTCACTAATATGCTTGATTATAGTGATTAGCGTAATAGGGGACCTGACATCGTAACATCAGTTTGATAGATTATTATCTGTTATCTCTATGGGTTGAGCTACATACATTCTCTCATATTAACTTCAACAAACACTGGACGTTGGTAGATCTAATATTTAAGATGGGTTATTTTTTCTAAATATTATAGAACGATTACATTCATTTGTACCACATTTATCTGCTGTAATAATGTTTTTATTTCCCTCTTTTCTTTTGTTTTACCAGAAAAACTTAATCTAAAAAGACAAACTTCATTTTTATGTTAAACAGATTGTGACACAGGAAAAATTATATTGGCCTCGAAATAAGAATATATTTCAACCCCGGTAACAGCTGTGCTGTTTGTACGACATTATATAAATGACACACACGTGCCTTATGAGTATTGCCCACTATTGTGGACATGCTCGCGGAATGCCGCTAATAAATTGGTATTAATGCAATAAATTGTATATTATAGATTGTTTCTAACAACTTAAGATATATTAAGGTTATACTTCAAATAAAAGACTTTCACATAACAGAATTGTTAATGTACTAGTTTAATTCAGTTCAAATAAATTTACAAGAAACAATATGATTAGAATGTCTATACGAATCTTGGGTCGCCCTTATTTGTGAGAAAAATAAATTAAGTATTTGTATTAAACGTTCATGATATACTTAAGGTATCTTTACTCCCATATGCATGTACGGGTATGTTATTGATTATATTTCTAAAGAGAATATATTTATAGTGGACAGTCTGTAACTCCTTTCTCTATAGAAGGGGCACGAATAGTATTTGGTATGTTCCAAAATAGTCGGCTTTCATAATGTTTCCCTTTTTACTGGAAAGACCTTCATCTATTAATATAAATGTCAAGCTTACCACCTTACATTTTCGAAATGTCTTTGAAACTTACATTTTTATCTCCAGGTTGATGTATATTTTAACCGCAGGTATGGTTGCGGTGTTCGTACGAAGTTACGCATTGTGCTTTTTATCAACATTCACTTAATGACCATAAAAACGTTTATCTTGTGTTTATTGCGTGCATTTGAGGACCATAATCGTGGAATGATGCTTAACCTATAACTTAATAAGATATTTATCTTTAATGTACTGATTTATTAGATCAAATAAATGTACATGATATAATGCCGAAGGAATTATCTATGCTGTTCTTCTTGCCCTCCTTATCTGTAAAATAAACAGACAAAGCGTCTCATTCCAAAGTATTGAAATGATTTACATGTGGATAAATAACAGAAAAGAAGACGTACAATTTACATCATCATCATCATCATCATCGTCATCATCATCATTATTATTTTATTTCAACTACAAGCATATTTGTTGAAATTATCTTCCTTTTAAAGGGTACAGAGGCATATACTAGGCGTAAAAATAAACTAATTTGCTTCGATAAAAGCCAATAAAAGCCAATAATGTTCAATAGGGTTGAGCAAAAATCTCTTATTATTTAATTACATAGTAATTTTAAGTTCGACATATATGTTGTCTTGGACTTGAGAAAATTGATATCGACAAGGAAATATAAATGTTCAATCTATTCAACTACAACATTGTAATTTACTTTCCAGAAAAACAAAATGGCATAACTCAAGGGCGCACGTTCAAACTTTTATGATTTAAATAAAATATCATATTGTTTTTACCATTGTATTCATGCAATCGAATGAACCACTTAAAAAATAATGTGGAAATGGCAATTTTCTTTATACCAGTACAAAACGGCCAATTTAATGAAAAATGAACAAAATAGTCTCCTTTCCCTATTCATAAAAATATTTCTGCCAAATATCAAGAGAATTTGAAAAATAGATTCAAAGGTATCAATACCGACAAAAGGACGGACTTTCCAATGTTTTAGTTGTAGGATGCTACCATATCGATCTTAGCCATATAAAAGTGTATTAGCCACAAAGGGATAGCATCAATGAAAACTCACTTTTACATTCAGTTCGATTACGAATAGTATCATTAAAGCAAAATGTAAGCGCTGACAAACATCGCGCCAGTAGATGACAAGTGCTTGTTTTCACCATATTCTATGTTTTGATTTTGATTTATTAATATATATTGGGGATATCAAAATAAAATAGGCTTTCTATAATCTGTAGAATATTTTTTGACCTTTGTATAATCAAAATATCTGTATTGTAGAAATACTGTTTGTAAATTTCCGATACAGCGTCTAGACCTTTCGCAAAATCATTTTTAAAATTGGCATTAGGCCTTTCAAAGGGTGTAATAGTGAGTTAACAGATGAATGTAAAAATAAGTTTCCATTTACAATAATTCCTTTCAATTTTATAATTCATTTCGCAAGAAATATAATCATGTACATGGTCCAATGATATTTTTGTAATATCCAATGGAATTTACCTCTAACGTTTAGTGGAGCAATTTTTTAATATTCTAAGCAGATAAATGTTTCATCCATAACACTTTTCAGTATCAGCATTTAGTCAATCACCATTATAACAGTCCAGCTTTTGAAATATGTAGACAATTCAACTTAGTTTTAAAATAAAAAATGAACATCAAGTCCTTTTAAACATACTGAAATAGCAGTTGTGTTGTCTACTATATTTTCTTCCAAAAGCATTCTAATATTCTAAAAATGACTATATTATAAAATTATCAAAACTCTTTGCGTAGCTTTTAGAAATCTCTTTGACTATTTCGACAGTTACAGCTTTACAAACTGTTAACAAATTTGACAAAAGGTAACTTGCGTTATTATGCTTTATTGATTATCTTATCTGAACGTTTAGCTAAAATTTTATTTTAATGATTTTACCTTTGTCGGGCCTGAAATAACAGCGCAGTTTGGTGGACGCGATTTCAATTTCTTTGTAGATGATGACAATCTCGTTTTTTCTACGATCGATCCACATAGGTTTATCCTCATTTTGTCTCCACCCACACTACCTTTTAAGAGAAATGGCTTAAAACTTAAATTCGATTTCTATTCTACAACTTGCTTACGTGCAAAACGAGCTACGTATATGTTCATAGACACAGTTATATTATCATCAATATGTGGAGAGGACGGTATTTAATTCAGCCTAATTATTATGTTATGTCTATATACTAGTACACAGCAATGCCAAAGTTTGTTAGCTAAAAGGACAATAATTATAGTCATCTGCAAAAGAAATAATTTTAATCTGACAATTAATAGTGATATACATTCCTACGTATTAAACGTACTTCTGTATTTGCACTTAAGTCGTCAAAATAAAATATTTTATGAACCTGAGATAAGATACTTCTTTCCTTTCTGAAGGTATACTCCGCACATAGCACCATTACTTGCAGTGTACACGCGTTTTAAATCAACAACATCTTTCTTATCGACAAACTGCAATAGAAACTAGTTCTGCACTACATAGACCAGAAGTCGCAAATGACTAGTAAAAGTCAGTAAACACTACTTTACGACGTCTGTTTATAGCTGATTCATTCGTATTATATTTTCAGAGATGTACCTGTACTTTGTCACATCTAAAAGTTTATCAAAAGACACAAGATTCTCATTGTATTCTCGATTCAGTGAAACGATTAGATTATCATAAATGCGCATGAAATATTTTAGACATTAGAATTCCTTGATTGTCTTTTGTTCCAACTGGCATATCAAATGGGCAAAATTCACATATGATTTGAATCACCTTTCCATCCAAAAGTATTTGAAGATGTTATGGCATTATCTCAGGCAGCAGTTACTATTTGAATACGACGAAAACTATTTTTTATTGAGTTTACCTTCCAAGGGCTTCCTAATATTTTTATTTTATAGTAGTCGTTAAAATCTTGTTGTCCGCTTGGGTTTTGCAACGTACTTTTCACCCGCACTTTCATCACTGTATAAAAAGTGGAATATATTGAATCAGACTTTCGTGAAATAATATTATATGATAGTTACCTATGAACTATACTACAATAGTTACTATGAAATAGTATATCGTATTATATATTCTAATTAAAAAATACAGCAGCATTTAAATTTTGGTGTTTGTCGACTTTTATAGACTTCAATGAGGCTTTTAGACATTAAGGAACTGGAAATACTTTTCGAGACCCTATATGATGTAAGTTATGACTAATAACTCGTGTGTAAAATTTTAGATCATTATGATTTTAACTGTTGAGATGAATACAAAGCATGAAAATGATGGACTTTGTTTGTATTGACAGTTACATACTTCCAGCTTTAAAATGCAACTATTCTCTTTTGCTGTTAATGAAATATAGTTTACTTTTTAATAAATAAGCAAATTCGACTTTTTTCTTTTACATTCTTAAGATTTATTTTGTTTTCAAAATTACTTTATTTAGTTTCATGTTTTCGTACACTGGCTAACAATAAATCAAAATATATTGATAACGTAAAACTTACCAAAGTCAGAATCACAATATTTTTTCTGGATACTGGCTGGTAAACATGAACACGAGTCTCCAAGATGACATAATGTTGCAAGCACAAAACACCCAAATAGAAGTTTCACCTCCATGTTTATACTCTCAAATAAAGGAATATAATGACAAACCTACGAAATATAGGCCTACAATCTGTTACATGAAATAATCAACCAGGGGTATTACTCTAATATTTAGGTGAAGATTTCAGTAATCCGGATAAATTACGAATAATATCTACGTGGTTTTTTTATATTGAGCCATATGTCACATTATCCTATTTTTCTCTGGTTTTACATATTTACATAGTTTTTCCTCCGTAAAGTTTTATAAATGTATATAAGTTTTTTCTTAACTTATATTAAACGTGAATAAAATGGTCATAATTTTTCAAACCGAGTATTTGTGAAGGAAGAGAAACAAATGTATTTATATCACTGTCAAATCAGCTTTATGAAAAAAGTAATGTTGGTGATATTTCGCAACGATTGTTCTTGCTGAGCCCTATTTAAACGTATGTAGAAATAACAATTTTGCTAGGGTGATTTTTATGGTTCCTATGAAACTACTCATAAAAATGCAAAAATGATTTAATTGCAGTAATTGACATTTTACTTGAATAGGTCTTCTGTAGAATAAAAAGAAGTTAGCCGGAAGAACACGTTTTTGTGTTATAAATAATTATGATAAATAAAGATTAGTTAGATATATATACTTGTTCCTATGCTATGCTTTTTTGTGCATTGAATTTCATTTTACTTAGCTTAGAATTATTTTATCTGTTCCATGCGAACAAGTGTGTATTAATATGCAACAAATGAACTATTTAATACGATCTCCCATATTATGATACTTTTGTTACCATATTTTTGTGTTATACGATATGTTTTGGCCAATGACGTTGATTAAATGTTTACATGTCCATACCGTAGTATATATGACTGACTCCATAACTAGGCTTATTTCCGCAATTTTCATGTAATTTTGCTGTTTTTAATGCTTCCGAGGAAACACTTTTCTTACAACAGCAGGTGTCAAGTGCTGTGTGGCAGCCGTAAAAAGTTGCCCCCTACTTTACTTCAGTGTTGTTATATTTTTCTGGTCCTTCGGGATCATTGAGTTCAGCACTTTAAGTATTGAGAATTGAGTCACGCTCAAGCCGGTGCTAGGGGCGTGATGGATGTTGCACTTATTCATTATCTCTCATGGACAGACTCAATCAAACCGAGTCTCCCATTTTCATGTATTTTTTTCTGTTTTTAATGCTTCAGAGGGTCCACTTTTTTCCAGATAATAAATAAAACTGAGCCTGAAATAGTTTCAATTAGATGTGATGGCTAACCTTTCTCTTTGTCAGATATATTGAGGAACATCTAGGTGATAAATGTTAGTTTGTTACTTAAAAGATATACACATGATAAATAAATATAAACAAATATACTGATAAAAGGGAACATAACTGAAATAATTTAGTAAATTTTGGATATTACGAGTTATGTCTGTTTTTATGAGGGCTTCGTCTTCCTTAAAAAGTGCTGTAATGGGCTCACATGGATCAATAATCTAGAATTTGCTAGTTCGATTCCAAGGCAAGACAAACATTTTCCCTCAAAATTGATCTTGAATACTGAGTCTAAGGGTCATTTGTATATCATCACTAATTCTGGAAATTGGTTATATGTTGTCCGTAAACGTGTCATCTGTTGACCTTAGTATTCATATTTTACATTAAAGGCAGAAAACAGACTCTTCTTTTATGTCACATTTCAAATTCTAGATTGGTATAACGGGCACCCGAATTTGATGAAATACGATATTTCTTAGCTCTCAAACAGCAACTAGCAATTATAACTAGCATACGCTGATGGCGAGACATAATCTAGTTCTTGCTTCACCGAGAGGCTTTTTGAGTTGTCCCCCTTTTTATTATTCATTTCTTTTTCGAAAACTATTCTACATTTCATATTTAAAGACGGATAAGTTTATTTTTATGACGACATATTTTGTTCAGTTTGATAGATTTTTAAGTTGATGTCTCGGTACAAGATGTTGTATTTGATCGTGATATTTCCTTTAACTTTCCATTTTGCTTCCTAATTAATGTAAGCTACACATTTTGATAATTTTGATTGTCCTTTTCAGACTCCAAGGTGTTTTATTGAATATTATTAGAGATTATTTCTCAAGAACAGACAAAACGCGTCTGCAATTGCCAATTATTTGCTTGGTTTTCATTGCTTTCGAGGAGAAACTCCTTTCTATTTTTTACGCATTCACGTCACAATGTTTGGGGTTTGAAAATTGAATAAGAGGAATTTTGCTGAAAGTAGGAAAATCAAATTAGTTATATTCTTATGCCTACAAAACCTTACCTAATCGATTTTTTCCGTTCCTTTGTCTTATTAAAAATACAAATTAATATCGTCTAAGAAAGGCTGATCATATACAGGTATTTCAAGTTTTAGTTTTCTAATGAATTATTGAAGTACAATGTTCGAGAAAGGGTCAATTATGATGAGGTTAAATAATATAAGTATTTTATACACAGATATAATTCATCCCTTACACGTTTGCGGACCTATTGTAGCGTTATATTCAAATCTGGATAAACATGAAGTTTCGAATCAATTATCGGTGGATTGGTAAAATATATATAGAAAGTATTACGGGTCTTGATGTAGCTTTCAAAGGTTGAAGATATATGACCTGCATACTATTTGAAAGAAGTATAATTGGGTAATATTGTTTTCTTGGAATGGCAGTAACGTTTTACATGGAAGGTTTTCTATAAACCGCCGTATGAACACATCTGCGAATGTTTCTATATTCAAAATTTTACCATTTCATTGAATACTGATTAAGCCTGTGCTCGGGGGCGTGGATAGTTACTTGCACCTTCCAGTACAATCAAACCGAGCCTGCAACCATTTCAATTTTGTCGTTTTGAGCGTTCTTTAGATATTTCCCTATTTTATTGATTTTTGATTTTGATCGTGTTCCGGTGAAAGAGATTTATATGATGTTGCACGCAATTGATATCGTCCAGTACATTGATATTCTCGTTAAATAAATCATAGACTGTACGTTTCACGAAAATATTTTACTAAATAAATATTTTTATTACATGACTTTTAGTAAAACTTTGAGATTTTGTCACAATTTCGCAGTGAAATTACCTACTTGATATACATATATTCGAGACCTGAAATAAATAACCCTTTAAAATGGTTCTTTTTGATATGTTTTCTTTTAAAACTCATTTCATTATATAACGTTTCTGCATAAAATGACAAACTTCATACCTTACCATACATGTAAAATTTACCAAATGTCCTTAAAACTTACTTTATCATCTCAAGGTAAATGTATACCGATATTTTAAACGCAGGTATGGTTGTTGTGTTCGTACGAAATTATGCTAATTATCAATAGTCACTTAATGACTATAACACCGTTTATCTTGTGTTTATTGCGTGCGTTTGAGGACGGTCAACGTGGAATGATGCCTATGAATTAATATTAAGCTATAAAAACTTAATGAGATATGTATCTTTAATGCACTGATTTATTAGATCAAATAAATGTACATGAAATAACGTCGAAGGAAATATCTATGCTGCTCTTCATCCCCTCATTATCTGTAAAAATAAATAGACAAAAAGTCTCATTCCAAAGTAAATGATACATGTCGATAAACAGCAGAAGAGAAGACGTACAATTTACGTCATTATCATTATTTTTATTATCACAAGCCAATTCGTTGAAATGATTTCACTTGAAAAGAATACTGAGGCAAATTATAGGTGTGAAAATAACCTTAAAATAAACTTAATTACAGAGTTACAAAAAAACCAACAACAATTTTACAAAAACCTTGGTGGATTTAAAATACCTATCCTCATTTCCCTATTCATATAAAAACATTCCTGCCAAGTATCAAATAAACTAGAGATATGGAAACCGACGGAAGGGCGTTCTAATATTTTAGTTTTAAGATGCTAACATATCGTTTTAGCCACATAAAATTGTATAAGACACAACTATATATCGTCAATGAAACATTACTGTTACGTTTAGTTCCAGTAACATCATAAGAAACAAATGCGGGCATCGCCAATTTTTTATATTCCCTTTATGATTTTATCGTCTGGTGATGACAAGTGCTTGTTTTTTTTACCATCTTCCGAGTAAATATTATGGTTTATTATTTTTGTTAAAGGGTAAAAAGCTAAAATAGACTGTTCATATTGTATAGATTTTATTGATCTTTGATTTAATTAAATCATAGCACCTGTTTTGAAAGAATATTGATTTTAAAATTCAGACACAGTGTCTGGAATCTTTGCTTAATAATTGTTTAGACTACTGAAATGGCAATTGTAAAATTTACTCGTATTTTATTTTCTTGTGCAACCGGGTTAAACGCGCCTGTTTTAATTTGGGGATCATTTCAATATTCTGATAAAAAAATATTAAAACTCTTTGTGCAGCTTTTGAAATTTTCCCAGTGTATTTCACCAGTTACAGCTAACAAACTGCTAACAAATTTGACATTTTATTCCATGCATTTTTATGCTTATTCATCAAATTATCTTTACGTTTTTCTAAAATTTTATTTTTTATATTTTACCCTTTTCGGGCCTGAAATAAGAGCGCAGTTTGGTGGACGCGATCTCAATCTTTTTGTAGATGATGGCAATCTCGTTCGTTGTACGATAGATTCACATAGGCCTATCCTCAACTTGTATCCGCTTACTTTACCTTTAAAGAGAAGAATCTTTAAAAAGAGGATTTTGTTGTTGTTTTTTTTCCAGTCTGCTAACATACCAAATATCTACGTATATGTCACTAAAATGTCATCAAAGACTAGTTAATAATTTTATTATCAATCTGTTGAGTTTACCGGAAATAGTTAAGCTAAAAACGTTATTTTATTTTTTATACTAGTTCAACATTATCAGTGAGATACAAGAATGATTATAGTCATCTGCAAAGGAAAAAGTTTTACTTGAACAATTATTAGTGATATACATTCCAACATACTATAAAACTTTTGTTATTTCTAATAACACTAAAGTCTTCAAAATAATATATTTTATGAACCTGAGATAAGGTATCTCTTTCCTTTCTGAAGTTCTACTCCACACAGGGCACCATTGCTAGCAGTATACACGCGTTTTAAATCGGCAACATCCTTATCACCAACAAACTGAAATAGAAATTAACTCGTATCTGCAAACTATACTTAAAGTGAAAAATGGCGTTCCAAAATCAGTTAAAACATCTTAAAACACTACATTATGATCGTTCTAAGTAAATTTTCAGAAGCTTTTATGTATTCTGTAACATGTAAACATTTAATCACAAGATACCTCATAGTAAAAGTGATTATAAGTGCACTAAGTATTTTGTGAACATTCGAATAAAAAAAATTGCGCTAAATGGCATGGTAAATGCACCAAATTCACATATCATTTGAACTATCTTTCTTGCAAAATATATTTAGAAAAAAACATTATGATATGTTTTAAGATATCAAACTATTTTATTGAGTTTACCTTCCAAGGGCGTCCTAATATTCTTATATTATAGAAGTCGTCAAAACCTTGTTCTCCACTTAGACTTTGCAACGTACTTGTCACCCACACTTTCATCACTGAATAAAAAAGTTCATTAAGACTGCCTTGCAAAAATATATTAACAAATGCTGTAGTATTTCAAATTTTTGCTATGTCGGGCGGCCTTTCAATGTCGCCACTAAAGTGTTCTGTCATGAAGAAACTGAAGGTATTTTTCATGACAATTTAATGTAGGTTTAGACAAATAATTTATGTGCAAAATTCCAGATAATTCTAAAATAATTAGTGAGATGAATAAAACGCATGAAAATGATGGACTTTGTTCCTATTGAAAATTATATACCTCAAGTTTAAGAGTCTGTTAATTACTTTTGCTGGTAGTGAAATATTATTTACATTTTTAAAAATAAGCGTACTCTGGTTTTGAAAAGTATAAACAGATTCAATTAAACGAAATAATCCATTTCAAAATTTGACAAAATATATTGATTCAGAATATGGAAAAACTTTGAACTTACCAAAGTCAGATTTACAATATTTTTTCTGGATACTGGCTGGTAAACATGAACACGAGTCTCCAAGATGACATAATGTTGCAAGCACAAAACACCCAAATAGAAGTTTCACCTCCATGTTTGACAGATTATACTCTCAAATGAAAAAAATAATGGCAAACCAACGAAATATATAGTCTGTTACATAAAAAATTGGCAAGGGGATACCATTTAATGTTTTTGGTGAAGATTTCAGTAATCCGGATAAACTACAAATATCACATACCTGGCGTTTTTTATGGAGCCATATGTCACATTGTCCTATTTTTCACAGTTTTTGCATATTTGCATTTTTATATGTAGTTGTTTTTCCTCAGACAAGTTTCATATATAATGGTTTTCCTTAACTTATATTAAATGAGAGTAAGATGGTCGTAATGTTTTGGTACAGTACATTTGAAGAAAGAAACAAATGTATTTATACTCGTATCTATATCTATGTCTGATGAACAAAATGTTATTGCTGATATTCCGCAACGCTTGTTCATGACCATAGAATTGCTTGAATCCAAATCAAACAATCTCTGTTAAAATGGGTACAAAAAACACATAGAAAAAACAACAACAACAAATTTTCCACGGCGATTTTACTGTTCTCTTGTAAGCTAAAATGAAATAAAATTGCAATAAATGACTTAAAAGCATTTGACCTAATAATTTTTTGTGTAGAATAAAACAAAATTTTGCAGAAAGACATTTACATTTTGATTATATGTAGCTCAGAAAAATAGAAAATGGTAATGTATACATCTGCTCCTTTTCTATGAAGTTTGGTTATAAAAAATTATTTCACTTAGCTTAGGATTTTTTTTATATTTACCATATAAACACGTGCGCATTTATATGTAACGTATGAACTATTTATTATGATTTCCTTTTATGATACTTTTATGATAGTGTTGTTACATTATTTTAGGGATGTACCATATGTTTTGCAAATGACATTGATTGTATATTCAGATGCGAACTGGCTTATAAAGTTGGGTTTTGGTAATTGGTGTTAAGTTATGTGCCATTCTGTTTCTGTCTGAAGATAAAGACAATAGTCTAGCTTGACGGTTTTAGTTTTCCTACTAGAACATCGTATAATTACTCCTAGAATATTTCACCTGCATTTTATATATGTAATTTGACAGCTGTAATAGTTTCATTGAATATATGACCCTCCCATAACATAAATTAGTTTAGATTCACTCATTGTTTTTTCTCGTTTAGGGCTCATACTTTCCTTTTCACAGGGACTATACTTTGCATGAAATCACAAAAAGAGTATGTAATTTTGACTTAATGAACCAGAACAGCGAAATTGTAGTTATCAAATTATTTGTCATTAATATATAGGTACATGTTATTTGACAACACGTTGAAGACTTCATCCAGACTTTGTAAACCGTATCCATCCAAAAAAGAACTGTCGAAATTTTGTGTTGAAGATACCGTATATCCAGGGGTTTAACGTGTTGTTCAGAAGAAATGATCTAGATCCAATTTTGAAGCCAACTAGGCCACCACCAGACAAAAATTCTGCCTCATGCTTTCCATTGTATACCCTCCAAACAGTTAAGGAGAGGTAAGGTAGAAAGCTTATTATAAACACGACTGTTACAATTATCATGATAAGTGTCAGTTTAATTGTTTCACGGTCAATATTTACTGTTTCTCTATCAACATCTTTTGTTTTAGATTTTCGCTGTTTTTCTACATTATGGTCTGACGATTCCAGTTGATTAACACCTGCATGACTTTTTCTGCCAGCCGGACTTCGGTCAGCTTTTTCAGATTGAATGACGCCATCGTTTGCTTTACTTTCTACATTAAATGAGGATGTAGTGAATGAAGTTTCGTTCAATGTTGAGGTCGTCTTACTCTTACATCTATATTTCTGCATACTTTTCTGATGATGGTATATCGTACGTCCAATTATAGAATACAACACAATTAGCACTATCGAGCATATGATAAACATCAGAAAATGTACAATATTAAATGCCCAAACATATTTCCTATATTGCCTGTCCTTTGTAGACGTACAATCAGAACCCCTTAATTCTATACCAATGTCATTCGGTATGTTGACTTGGATAGAACCATAAATAGCTATTGAAGGCCAAGATAAAAGAAGAGCAGTTCCGAACACGACCAAACTAATTATTTTTGTTGTTTTTAAGGTCAGTTGAGGTGCAGTCGCTTTGCAGATTTTCTTAAAACGATCGGTTGCTATAGCAATCAGAGTGAGTATTGATCCTATACCTGCAAGGTAGTTCACAAACCTCAATATCTTGCAAGCAATATTATTTTCGAATGTATAAAACAGTTCTATATCTGCTATTTCTGTTGGCATGCAAAATGCACACACTGTTATATCATATATTGCCAAGACAACAATGAAGAAACTGTTAGTTGTTCTTCTGGTCTTAAAACCATAATAGTAACACACCATAGAGTTTCCAACAAGTCCAAACACCATCAAAACTGCAATGTATATGGTAGCTGGTAACATCAGGTGTGCCATTTCGTCATTTAGTTTTTGTACTATGACATCTTTGTCAATCCCGGTTGAGGTGTTAATTTCTGTGGTTTCAACTGTGGTACTACTTAAGTTGTCCATTTTGACTTCTGTAAAAGAATTAAGGATATATCTCGTAAAACATAAGAGGAATCTTGAACATAACACGATCAAAGTTATTTACTTAACAAGAAACTTTTTATGTAAAATAAAACAACCATTTTTACATGAATGTGTACTTAATTCAATTACATGTGTATTTAACTTTGGATTCTTCCATGTGATGAAGCTTGCATACGAAACGCCAGTGGTTCTACGCAGATACCTGTACGTGCCTGAAATAATGTTCATGGAACAAACAAACAAAACATTTAACGTATATTACACTATCAATATCTCAACTATACACGTAGAAAACAGTAATATTTCATTATATTTGTTTACTTTGAACGATATCAATAACTGAAACGTGATTTGTGTTATTTTCTCTTCCTTGTCAAGTATGAAATTCCTGTTTGTTGAAAAGATTACTAATAATTACAATGAGTTTAGTAATTGGTTTATTGTAATGAGCTCTTATCAAACTAGGAAGCAATTACTATTAACCAGCTACATAACTTGCGTTGTTTTAAAATTTGACATAAATTATTGTAAAAAATCTTCACTTATATAAAATAAAGTCTAAACTTAATGATAAGTTTGATTGATTGATAGGTTCCACCTTGAATTATTCTGCTAATGAATCGGGTAAACTTACGAAATAAAACGGATGCACTAAAAACAGCAAATGTTACATATCAGATCAGATACATGCTATGCTGGTTTTTATAGAAAATAAGAAAGGTTGCCGTTATATATCTCTCGTGTGTATTTTATAATAATTTTTATTATCATGATGTGTTGGTGTGAAACGATAAATAATGATTTAACTATGAAAAAGATTTATAAATATATTTGATAATTGTAAAACGTAAAAAATCGATTTTGAAATGTTAATGTTTGGGCACAGATGGACTCGAGGAAAAGTAGCTAATTTATTACTAATTTTCTTCTATCTCATAAGCCCAATACCAACCTACACCAATCTTTTTTCCCTCAACAATTGAGTCAAAAGTGAAGATAAAAAAAAAACAAAATACATGTTATAGTCAAAACAAAATGAACAACAACAAAACGCAAGAAAACATATTATTTCAATGATAATTTGATATTCATTTCGCATCCTATATCAAAAAGTATTACCTGTTTCAATAGTTCACTTTTTAATCCTCTTAAATCTTATCAGCATTACAAATCTTTGTCAGATGTAATTTATATACACAAACAACGACATACAAAAACGTTATTTGACCTGTACGTTTTACACTTCCTGAAATGAGATACATAGTCTGATGTTATCAAATGTAAAGCGTTTTAAGCTATGAACTTAAAGCGTTTTATGTTATACAAATATTTACGATAATTAAATGATTAATTGCTTTAACGGATGAGTAACAAAGACACACAATTAGTGTCATTCAAAAAATAAATTTACTGTATCTTAATGTAACTTGCTGTTTATATTTGCTAATATTATCTGGGAAAGCCTATTAATAGCTTTAAACATTTAATTATTATTTACTTTTACATTGCATGAGATATTAAAATAATGTTTATGGAATATACGGTCAATCTGTATTCCGTTAATAATGTTTAGTAGCAGATATTGAACCAAACCACGAAAGAATGATATATGAATGTTTTTGGTAAGCATGATATACTAGTATTTGATCAAATATTACATATATTTATTTATCTCATAAAGAAAGACCCAGATTGTTGTGCCAAAGTTTTATCGTTAATAGAAGAGAAGCTAGGTCATGAAAATGCCACAGAAGAGATTAAACTTCACCGAGCTCATCGTATAGGTAAATTCAAGCCTTCAAACAATAGACCAATTGTAGCAAAATTTGCTTATTTCCCAGACAGAGAAAGGGTGCGCATGGACGCTAAAAAATTGAAAAGACCCTACGGTATTAGCCAACAATTTCCGAATGAAGTTATGGAACGCCGCCGGAAGCTGATTCCGATAATGTTAGACGCAAGGAAGGCTGGGAAGGAATCCTACCTAGTAACTGACAAACTCTACATTGACGGACGCTTATACAACGACGAGACTTCCGGTCTTAGATAGGACCACCACGGAGCAGAAATCAGATGTGTTTCATGGAATATAGAAGGCTTATCTCAAATAAAAACAATTAACTCTGATTTCACGAATTTTATATCAAATTTTGAAATAATATTCTTAAGCGAAACATGGACAAATAAATCATCAAAAATAGAATTAAATGGGTATAAGTTATACCATTCTTTCAGAAAATATCAAAATAAAAGAGCTAAGAGAAGCAGCGGTGGTATATTAGCATATGTTAAAAACTCTATCGTTAAAGGTGTGAAATTGGTAAAAAACGATGTAGATTGCTTCATGTGGTTGAAATTAGATAAAGAATATTTTATGTTGCCTAATGATGTTTATATATGTTCTTTATACATTGCTCCAGAAAATTCTCCTGTTCATAATATGTATGACTGTGATTTATTTAGAAGATTAGAAACTGATGTACTTTTTATCAAAATAAAGGAAGTGTATATGTTTGTGGGGATACAAATTCAAGGACAGGTTTAAAACCCGATTATAAAAACCATGATGTACAGTTACCGGATCATGGTTATTCAGACATTGACTAGTATTTACCGCAAGCGTCAACAGATCACGTATCAAACGGGTTTGGGGAACAATTACTTGATCTTTGTAAATCGATTGTAAACGGACGACTAGATATGGATTAAAATATTGGTAAACCAACCTTTTATACATGTAACGGAATTAGCGTAATTGATTACCTGTTAACTAAGAAATGCAATTTTGAAAACATTACTAATTTTCGCGTTCATGATTTAACAACGCACTCAAATCACTCTCCGGTATCATTCTCATTAAAAATTTTGACTTGACCGGTTGAGGCAGAACCACGTAAACGCACGGTTTATAAATGGAATCCTGAGTATAGAGATGATTTGTCAAAAATTATATGAATGCAAACAAAATAACCATGATCCTAACGAAATGGTAGATATATTTACTAAATTCCTGACTGATAAAGGAAATTTTTATTTTGAAACATGTCGTTCGATTTCATATAATACGTTTTTCTGCGATAGTGATAATAATATAAACAATAAATTGTTTGATGAAAGTTGTAAACAAAAATATATTGCTTATAAAAATTCAGTATCGCAATTCAATGCTAACAAAACTGCTGAAAATAAAGAGATGTTATATTGCAAAAAGAAAGATTATAAGTACCATTGTAAAAAGTAAAAAAAGAATTTTAATAGAAATCAGGCAACAACTTTAGAAGAAATGAGGAATAAAAAGCCAAACGATTTTTGGAGATTATTTAGTAAGAAATAGGCAAATTGTTTAGATGATAGTATTAAAATGGAAGAATCTTTTAATCATCTTACATCAGAGTTTTCAATAGAAGAAGATGTTGAAATAGAAACTTTTTTAAATAACTATGATAATTGTGAAAACATAAATTCTACATTTGATGAGTTAGATGCACCGTTTACTGTTACTGAAATAAGAAATGCAGTTAAACTTTTGGGGACGAATAAAGCTTGTTCGTTCGATCATATTATGTACGAATACTTCAAAGAGGGGATCGATATTTTAGATAAACCTTTGGAAATTTTATTTTATTTATATTTTAGATAAACAATGTTTTCCTAAATCATGGTCAAGCGGCATGATAATACCTGTTTTTAAAAAGGGCGATTCAAGTTTACCTACAAACTACAGAGGTATTACTTTGATAAGTTGTTTTGCTAAATTATTTACTGTGATAATAAATGAACGTTTGAAAAAATGGGCACTTGTAAATGATATTCTCACTGATGCACAGTTTGGTTTAAAATCTAATTGCAGTACAGTTGATGCTATTTTTCTCTTACATTCTTTTATTGAAAGACAGCCTAAACAAAAAAAGAAATTATCTTGTTGTTTTGTAGACTTAATGAAATGCTTTGATTCAATATAAAGAAATGCCCTTTGGGTCAAATTAATAAAGAATGGTGTAAATGGAAGAATTGTTAATGTTATAATGAGGTTAAATTATGTGTTCGACATATTGATACATTGTCAGATTTCTTCAATTGTGATGTCGGTCTATTACAAGGGGAGATAATTTCGCCCATTTTGTTCTCACTATTCGTAAATGATATAGAGGTGTTTTTACAAAATGACAGTAATTCATGTTTAACATTAGATCAGTTATCTATCTACCTATTACTATTTGCTGACGACGCCGTACTTTTTTCAGAGACGGCAGACGGGCTACAACAATCATTAAATAATTTAACAGATTATTGTCAGAAGTGGAAATTAAAAGTGAATGTTGAAATAACAAAGGTTGTTATTTTCAAAAATGGGGGAGAATAAATAGAGATGAACATCTGTATTATGATGGGGAAATATTAGAAAATGTTTCATGTTTTAATTATTTAGGTATTGTTTTTTCCAGCGGTGGATGCAACTAAAACATTAGCAGACAAAGCTTTAAAAGCAATGGGGTCCCTTTTTGCCATAACGAGAGATTTAGAAGTGCCTGTAAATATTATGCTAAATCTTTTTGATTCTTATGTAGCATCTATATTGAATTATTCGAGTGAAGTTTGGGGTTTTATTAAAGCAGAAAATATTGAAAGAGTACATAGAAAAGTCATGAAATGGTCATTAAATGTTAAAATGTCTACTACAAGTTCTGCTGTTTATGGTGAATTGGATAGATTCCCTTTATATATAAGTAGAGAAATAAGGATTGTTAAGTATTTTTTAAAGTTACATGATGAAAAAACAATAATTGTATTTTATCAAGTACCATAAATAAATTAAGACAGGATGCTGAAGATAATAATGTTGTCAATTGGGCTTCAAAAGTAAGAGATTTATTACAAAATGCTGGTTTTAATGATGTTTGGTTGTTTCCTTCTTCAGTAGATATAAATAAGTTTACAGTGATTTTTCGTACACGACTTCAGGATATATATGTTAATAACTGGAGACAGGATATCTCATCCAGATCTTCTTTATTATTCAAAGAAATAAAACCTATTTTTGAAATATCAGAATATTTAACAAAGATAAAATGTCCAATTTCAAGATGTACTCTTGCTAAATTACGTTTGTCGTCTCATCAACTTTTTATTGAAACTGGAAGACATAGAAATATTGATAGAAATGATAGGAAATGCCAACTATGCCAATGTAATGATATTGAAGATGAATTTCATTTTGTATTAATTTGCTCAGCTTATACAACATTAAGGAAGCAATGCATTCCTAGATATTATTTTACACGCCCAAGTATGTTAGAATTTACTGAATTGTTACAGGGTACAAATGCAAACATTTTAAATAAATTAGCCAATTATTGTAAAAAAGCATTTGATTTTCGAAGGAATTCATTAAATCTTTAAAAAAAGACATAATAAATGACTCATCACTAGAATGTACTCAAACATATATTTAAAGAAAAAAAATGAATTAGAAATTAAATACAGCAATATATTTATATATATGTATTAATTGTATATAATAATCTATTAATATGTTATATAAAATGTCACATTACTTCATGTATGTAAATAAATGTATGTATGTATGTATTTAACGATGAACTGTAAATGTTCGAGTTAGACATATAAATGTTCTGTTCTGTTCTGTTTATAAACCGCGCCGCAGGAGTGTAATAAAGCCAATTATCACACACCCGTGCCGATTTTGCGACTCCGTAAATATGGTATTGCACGGTCGTGCATATATTTTGACGTGACGTCATTAGCGTTATGCAAACATAGTGTAAAGACGCGCTAAATGTTAGCGTTCTACTATAGGCGCGTCAACGGAAAATAACTCTTATTTCACTTTAAACGGTCTTTATTTTGGGTATGTGATAAATAGAATATTAAATTCGTGTAAGTTCATTACTGAATTTATTGCACTCGTTGAATAAAATAATATTATGCTCGCCAGAGGCTCGCATAATATAATTTTATTCAACTCGTGCAATAAAGTCAGTATTGAACTTACACTCATTCAATATCCTCTATTTATTTTTCCAACATAGTCACTTTAAAGGAACAAATGATAATAAGTGCAACATATATGTTTCACTTATTTCGTTTATTGATGGAATAAAATTTCCGTCATGACTAGTCATAAGATAACATAAAGTCAATAAAGTTTGAACCTTTTATATAAAATAGAATATTATACAAATATGTACTTTTTAGCTGTTGAATATGATGTGATATGTACTGAAAAATTAATATTGATTTTTTCAGTACATATCACATCATATTCAACAGCTAAAAAGTACATATC